GTCTTACAGTTAATTTCAAAATCTTCATATATACTTTTATAAAATTTTAATCAACCCACAGAAAAAATTCTTTCAAGCCCATATGGCCCCTTAATTTTCCAAAATCAACATTCTAGACACTCTTTTGCTGTTTTCCCCAAATTAAAATTTTTCTATTTATCTTTAAACTTACATAAAACTTATTTCATCCAGGACAGAAGGAAGCTCTCCCGGTGTGATGAAACTTGCCCTTTAGAAGGTTCTTAACATCCGAAAGGTCAATAATAAGTAATTTCCTAAAGTAGTTAATAGAGGAAGTGGGTGAACTCAGTGTCTGTTTGAAGGTGCCAAACCACCGCTTAGGCAAGGTGGTTTTCCCCTGGCTCCCAGAGCTCTCAAACCCAGCAGAAATTGTTATTCTGTTATCTCTTCACAGGTGAGCCTCTGTATGGAGCAAACTTGATCCTAATCCTCTCCTTGATCCAGAGAGGGGTTCCGAGGAGCTGATCCCTTCTGTTATCTCTTCACAGGTGAGCCTCTGTATGGAGTAAACTTGATCCTAATCCTCTCCTTGATCCGGAGAGGGGTTCCGAGGAGCTGATCTCTTCACCGGCTCTTCTTTCCACTGTGGCCGTCAATCTGCCATTGCTTCCCCAGAAGTCCAGGTATTAATTAGTTCTGATTAACAAACTCCATTGGTTTAAATAGGCCTTCTAAGTATGACCTAGTTGATACAGTCCATTGACAATACAACACTATACCCACTTACTGGGAAAGAAGTCCCATTTCTAACAATATATTTACTAGAAAGTAAGTCCCACTGAGTATAGCTGATTTATATCTGAGTGGACATCCATAAAATCTTCTTTCTACATCTGCTTATCAGAGAAATCAGTCTATAAGAATGAGTAAAATGCTTAGGACTGGCCGAAAATACTCCTGACTTTTTCTCTATGTATCCAAAAATGAGCTGAAAGGTAAAACGTTCAAAGTAACTATGAGCTCTAAGAAGAGGGCTGCAGTTTCAGTGTGTTTGCCCCCATCACTCATAATATGAGTATATATTATGCATTACTTTGAGAAAACTGTAATATATCACGCACAAGTGTTCAATAGAAGTCATAATTAGGTCACTGATATCATGTCATCATGCAAACTACATACTGTAATTTGTGTCAGTCCTGTCACAACACAACTGATGCAAGCTACATAATCTATGTCATTCACACAATTATATTAGCCAATTATGGTTTAGTAAATAAATCATAATTAAACAAAACTTTCTCTGAGTTTTCCTCCAGAGAACCTCCCTGCCTTCCAAATAAACAGAGAAAGAGATTCTAACTTAGTTTACTCTATGGCACGCAGGGGACTTTTTAAAATGAATGTAAAGACATATAAACAGCATAAGAGACAAAATCTTGGAAATGTTTTATTCAGATCTTGCTATTCGTGGAAGCTTTTAAGTGAAATGCTACTCTAATGCAATACTCTTGTCACATGACCATTAGCTTAAAGTCAAATCACTACATTTACTAGATTGCCGCAAATAATGCTTAAAATAAAGATGCTGAGAACAGTTACTAGTATGTCGCTTATACCAGTGATACGGCATGAGTTGTAAAAGCTCATTGGCTCCATTTTTAATTTCGTGAAATGAGAAGTCTTCCATTTGAGGATGCAGGGAAAACTCACTGTTTACCAGAACAGAATGTAAACAGACTAGCCAAGGCTGATTCCTATCCAGCAGATGACTGATAAGAAGTTTCAGTAGTTGTTTAAGGAACATTGAGAGAGTGGATTTACTAAACAAATTTTTTTCAAGGACATTGGGAACATGCATACAACACACTGAAGTATTCAGGGTATTTCTCTCTATCTCTATCTCTATCAATTAAAAGAACAATAATTAGGGATTGAATCTAGAATAACTGGAACATTTTCAGAATATTATGCTCCTGGTGCCTTTTACCCAACCACGGCGGTTGCTTATTGTATCTTTGCTGCAAATGTGGATCTATCACACTGAGCCCATACCATAGTCGCTTCCTGCTTAGGCCACAGCAATCTGTCCTACGTGGGCTGCAAAGGAAGGTTTGAGGCCTACAGATGGTTCGAAATGCTACAGATAGGATATGGACTTTGCACAGCTCCTACATTAATTATATTAGCTTCTAATTTGTTTGAGGTCATAATTCAAAATGTATACTCTTATTGATAAAGCCGTGGCAGCTTGAGATCACAGCATTTTCTAGAATGCCTCTTCCAACATGAACTATTCAAAGGTTACCATTTTCATCTAAGTGCTTTGATTAACAGGGGGTTGCAGGACAGGGCCAACTATGTAGCAGCACCATGGTTTTGGGACCCTACAATGTAGAGAGATTCAATTAGAAATGAAATGCTGTTTAGTTTCTAGTAGGAAGAACCTTCCCCAAACAACGTAAGAGAAAATATTAAAATACATTTTTTTAAAAAATGGTTTTCCTATTGAAGGCAATATGAAGACAAACACTCATATGTGAATATCTACTGATTTCAGCCAAGTACAATTAGCTTAGTTTGTATCTCACATTTAAGTTCTGATCTGACGGAATGCATAGAAACCTATTTCATCATTTGAAGGCTTAAACTAATGAAATGGCTATATAATACATTCTGCAGGAATGTATTGGAAAATCTTTTCCCTTCCTAAGGAAATAAACTACTGGTTTTCATGCATATTAGGGATATACAATAGGAGCTGTGGTTTGGCCGAAGGCAGGTTAGCAAACCTGATGTCCCCCAGATGTTTGGGACTTCAATGCACATTAACCCAAGTAAGCATGGCCAATGGAACTGTTGAAATAAGGAGAACACTGGGCTTGCTATTCTTTGCCTGAGACGAGTCTTCCTTGAAAAGGAGTGAGAGAAACTATGAACAAATGCAAACGAAGGACAAAATTTTTAGAATTTCTTCATATTGTGGAAGAGGAAATGTTAATTTGAACCAGCCAAAAACAATCCTAAACTAGGTTTCCACATCAACTTCCACTCACACAGAATGTCCTAGTTTGCAATGTGAATTATTGGCCAGGGAAATGCTAATCTATACCTTGCCTTTCAGTCAGATTGGATTTCATTTGTTCATGTAGCTGTGGTCACAGCTCTTTATAGAGTTTCAGGAAGAAGTCTTTTCCATCAACAACCATCTGATCTTGGCAACTGGAGATGCCAGGAATTAAATCAGAGAACTCCTACATATAAAACCTACAAGCTACAGTATATCCCTTTGAGCTGTAGTTCCTGCCTTATGCCCCTTCTTTCCCCATGCTGATACTGTACAGCACCCTCTCTCAGTTGACTGCAAAAGAAAGACATCAAAGAAAGGCACGTCCATGTACCAGAAAGTGAAATCAACTTTCCTGGCTACAAACCTAAGGACAGGACAAAACCCATTGTGTTCAGTTTATGCTCATTCTCTAGGAAGAGAACAGCAAGTTGAGGATAATAGGGTTTGATTAGTCTTCTTTCTTGGACTAATGACCTAACAGCTGCATGAAATTAACTGTTTAACATTCAACATCAGGATCCCCATTGTGTTCAGTTTATGCTCATTCTCTAGGAAGAGAACAGCAAGTTGAGGATAATAGGGTTTGATTAGTCTTCTTTCTTGGACTAATGACCTAACAGCTGCATGAAATTAACTGTTTAACATTCAACATCAGGATCTAAAATGCAGTTGCTTCCAGGAGAGGAACAGCATACCAGAATTATAACATATGTTGGCTATCATACCTTTGGCTCCCTCATAAAATGTACTGCAACAGAACAGATAATCAAGTTCCACTCAAGGTGTTGTTGCCACATACTTGCTCTTCCATCTGAAAGGAGGATGTGTTACCTCCTGCTTATTTTCCCATCATGAGTGGCCAAACACAACATAGTTGGAGGATCTGCTGCTGGCATGACAGCCAGTCATATCAGGGAGTGCAATTTCTTCTACACCGCTCCCCCATCCTGTCATTCTGTACTCTGGGGCTAGTGAGTAACTCTGAAGGCATTTTAAAAGAATGATTAAGCAACATCCCTGCAAAAGCGCTAAGGGTAAAGGCAAGGGCATGAAAGGGAGGGGGAAGGGGGGGAGGGCTGCAATGCTCCACACTTATTCAAGCCTTTGAGCAATAGAAGTATAATAAATATAATCAGGCTTTTCAGCCACACAAAACAAAGGTAAATGTCAGTAATACAAGAAAAACAGCAGTCACTGTTACTGTTTTTAAAACAGAAGTGGAAAAGGCTACATCAGGAACATCTAGTTGTATAAGAATCTCTCTTTCTCAGAATATCTATCTACACATATATAAACACACATACACACCCCTTCCAAAACAGTGGTTTCTTCCTGTTGGATAGGGCCTAAAGGCACAGCTGTAATTCACATCATAATAACAGGCTACATTAAAATTGTCTTAACTTTTAACTCCAAAGCTAGTGGCAACTTGTATTGAACTTCAGAAGTGATCATTCAGTTTTTAAATAAGGCATTTTTAAAGGGGAGAAAAAGGAGATTTAATGCAGTCGAATCCATCCATCCATCCATCTTAGCAGATAAACCCAACGTGATAGTCAGGCTTTTATCAAAGTTTTCTTTAAAAAACAGCCTCACCCAAACAGTGGTTTTCCTGAAGAATGACCCAAAACTGTGATGTTGCTATAAGCACCCACAGGAACACTGAAGTGGCCTGTATTCAGCATGGAGTATTTTCTCAACGTGCAGCCATAAAGCTTAAGATAATACACTTTTGCAGCTAACTCTGTCAGCACACCAAATTGCATGAACCTTTGCAATGCACAGTTGTAACATAAGTTTCCTGATCTGCACACAGTTAATTGCACATGTTTATTTATAAATGGATCACTTTGTAATTAAGATACAGTACATCTCGAAGAAGATAGACTGTTGGGATTAAGGGAAACAACATAGCTAAGAGGAATCACAAGTTATTGTGAATACACTTTATGTTTTTTTTCCTCAAATGCAAACTGCAAGGAAAGGATGACCAATGCAGCTACAGAATATTTCCAAGATGCACCAGAAATTTTTCAGGCTGCTTAAATACTGACCTGAAGATTTGACCTGAGAGTTCACATCAATGTTCTAAAAAACTGTAGGCTCACTCTTATTCTAATTTTTGAATACACACACACACACAGATTTTAAATGTATTCAATTTCTACAGTCATATTCATTTTTAAAAACAATCCCAAAGAAGAGAACAATAAAAACCAATTCATAATGAATTAACAACAATTTTAAAACGTGGTCTAACATTAATGATAAAATGCAATCAAGCTTATCTAAATTCCCACACTTTTACAACTATATATCTCCTACCATTCCTTTAAAGAGCTTGGGTTGGCATAATTGACCTTTATTCTTCTCCTCTACAAAAGATAAAACTGAGAAACAAAATTTTATTGCTGAGTGACAATTTGAACCCAGGTCTTCCTTATCTGTCAAATACAATATACTAACCCAGGAGTGGGTAATCTGGATGCCAGTTCCTACAATTCTGACCAATCTGGTTGAGGCTGAAGAAGAGCTGAATCTAAAATGTTTCAAGGCTTCCTGGTTACCTATCACTAGTCTAAACATTATTTATTCATTTATTGGAATTAAATCCTGCTTTTTCTCTGGGAGTTCTCTCTTCATTTTATCTCTTCAACAACCCTGTGAGGGAGGATAAGATAAGAGGGAGTGAAGTCAATTTCCATGGCTGGGCATAATCTAGAATCTGGATCTCTCCAATCTTAGCCAACTACTATACTTAATCCTTAATCTCACAACACATGGACAGACTCAACCACAGTTTCAACTGGGAAACTGTGAGCATCCTAGACTAAGCCAAATCCAAAAATGCTAGGGAATTCCTGGAAGCTTGGCATTCAGACAAATCAGCCATCAATAGGCACATAGAAATAAACTATATTTACACACCATTCAAAGGAGACAACAAAAAGTTAAGAAACAAAAAAGACCAGAACATATCCTCTCCAGCATAACACCCAGATAAGCAGGGATTAACACCAAACAAACAATCAAGAAGAAAACAATACCCCAGTCAAGGAATTACCAAGGAGAAAAGCCACACCTCCACCAACACTGGCAAGGCATGCTACTTGAATCAGGGGGAGAAGGGAATCTCCTTCATTGCAAGTATTTTTCTTTTTAGAGTTACAGGTAGTCCTTACTTACTGACCACAATGGGGATCGGTAACTCCATTGCTAAGCGACACGGTCGTAAAGTGAAACTTCATATGACCACGCTGACTTACATCAGTTCTGGCTGTGGCCGTTAAATGAATCACCAGGGTCATTAAATGTGAGTCACGTAACCGCAACACACTGCGACCATCGTAAATGTGCACCAGTTGCCAAGTGCCCAAATCACAATCACGTGTTTGCGGGGATGCTGTGACGGCAGCAACTTTGAGGACCGGTTGTAAATCTCCTTTTTCAGGGCCATCATAATTTTGAATGGTTGCTGAATGAATGGTTGATAAGTAAGGATTACCTGTATTTCAAACTGCTTTGGGATCCCCCAACCCTTCTGAAATCTCGCAGAAGTGGATGGTGCATTTTTTGGCTACAAAAAGAATTCACTTCTAGGCACTGCAAAAAAACAAAGTGGTGGTTGTGGGGAACTGCCAATTGCTACAAGTAAATAAACTGTCCTTTAAGCTTTTTCCTGAATTGGCAGTTGTCTTTTATTTTTACAGGCTACTCCGTATTACTCCAATGCCACAAACAATTTTGCAATTTTATTTCTGAGATTAAAGAATTAAGCAGCCCCATAGTTCTACAGACATCCAGAAACCCTTCCTTTCAATTAATGCCTTTGATAACATTTACTCAAAGATTTCTCTTTCTTTTTCTTTCTTTCTTTCTTTTTCTCTTTCTTTCTTTTTCTCTTTCTTTCTTTCTTTCTTTCTTTCTTTCTTTCTTTCTTTCTTTCTCTCTCTCTCTCTCTCTCTCTCTCTCTTTCTTTCTTTCTTTCTTTCTTACAAACAGTAGGATACAGGCACCAATTATGATCTAAAACATTGAGTTCATTTTAAAAAGTAACAGGACTTTTCACTGACCTATATTTTAAAAGTCAATATTTTTAAAAGTGTGCATTGGTAGGGGAAAAATCATATTGCTTTAAAAAAGGAATCCAATTTTTGGACTCTAGCCCATATCACAAATATTGCTTTACCTTTTTTTTTTTTGGTTATCCTCCCATTAAAAGTGGTTTTACTGCATTCTTTTGTCAGAAGCATTTCAATAAAAAATATCCAATCCAAAAAGAAAAAAAGAAGATAGAACATGACCTAACAAGTAACATCTTTTTTTTAAAGAAATCCCCTCTCGAATAATAGATTAGCCCCATTCAGCTCCCTAAAGGGCATCTTTCTTTCACTGCAAGTGGGTTTTGCTGACTAAGACTTATTTTTAAAATATTGTCCAGAAGTAATACATTGTGAAGAAAAGTAAGCTGTAATCCAAGGTCTGTGGCCACTTCTAACTGTCACTGCTAGCACTTCTGTAGCATTTAGAGTAATGAACAAACTACAGAGCTTGCTTCCAAAAGCTCTTTCCTCTTAAGTCCACCTAAATTATCTGCTCCGTGATTATTTCCGATCATGCACGTCTTGTAGCTAACATTATTACAACCCACCACCCTGTAGTCTATGTGATACTCTTTGCTAAATGGTTGCATTAAATAAAACCCGCGCTGAGCTCTCGTTAACCATTAATACCTTTTCCCTACCACTCACCTTAGCTTCTGCTCAGGTAACCCCTGAAGACCCAGGCTATCTGGGCGATCCCGTCTTCTCCTGTATAGACCTGAATGGGATAATTCTTTCAGCTGCAACGCAGTCATTCCGCTCTACCCTGTTCTCCCCCCAGAAGAGTTTCTGCTGAAGGGCAGCACAGCTGCCAAGATGCTTGGAGAAAGTACGTGGAGCAGTGTGTCTGCACACCTGCCCAGATCAGCATTAGCACTCTCTTCACACAGGCAGCTGCCGAGCTGCTTCCTGTTTCTCATAGGTACACACCCTCTAGAAGAGAACTGCATTTCCTTTCAGCAGCAAGTCTCGTATCTAAGGGATGCTTGTAGGGTAAGCTGAGGGCAACCGTTTCGTACCTAGAACAAATGCAAATCAGGCCACTAACTGTGCTAGAAGGATCCTACAAGCCATCAAAAGCAGCAGCAAAATCTCTTCAGTCCTATTCCTGCTTCTCACAATCAGATACAAATTTCAGCCAACTAAACTGTTACGCCACCTTGAATTGCAACAAAAAGAAATCCCAGGAGTACTTTATTGATCTGGGGAAGCCTGTTGCTTTAAGTCTAGAATGAATTGATCTGATCTATCAAAATTCAAGCAGAGTGCAGTGAAGTCTAAAATAAATTAATCTGACCAGGTAATATAGAAGCCAAGAGTAATGAAAGAGAGTGAACGGATGAAAACTTTCTTTAACCTTTTCTTTCACACGCCTTCAAGGTGCCAGACAAAGACTAAAGTGGGAGGTGGAGAGAACTCTCTCAATATTCTGGTTCTGTTTAGCAGCATCAAAAGTTGCATCATGCCTTGCCTATCATCTCACCGTGCTTTGAGACAAGGTCCACAGGAGACTATGGAAACCAGAAGGAAAGAAAAGGCTTCCTGCCAAAAGAGAAACTGGTAACTAGAGATTTCCAAGTCATTTAATCTTGAAATAAAGAGTGAGCTCTTGATTATAGAAAGAAGAGACGAATGATGTAACTTTAGAGAGAGAGATTAAAATATAATTGTACTTATAACTGCTGTGGAGAATATTGGAAACTACTTCTTTATAGCTTTATATCTTCCTTTATATCTTCTTCTTATTGCATTTGTAGCGTTTTCTATTATTTTTCTCTTTTTTGTTTTCTCTGTCCTAATTTAGTTTGTATTAGTTCTTATTATTGCTCTTAAAACTTTTGATAAAAATTATATATAAAAAAAGAAATAAAGAGCCAGCTCTTCTAATTTTCAATAGGATACAAACTGACTGAAATTGGGTCTAGATTGAAAAGCAACATTGCAGCACTATCAAAATGTCGAAGCTAACCCCAAGTAGAAGCAACATGGAAGGGAATATGCAGAGAACAATATACATTGAAAACTAATATTTGTATTTATGTTTCCAAAGGAGTGTCCGTGTTGCTCTTTTGCGGCAAAAAAAAATCTCCAGCACTTACGTTATAATATAATGGTTTGTCTTTAAGGCGCCACAGGATTGGGGTTATTTAAAAAAAATATATGATAAAAAGGGGGGTTTTGCTCAAAGGGTTCTTACAAATCAATCAAGATATTTTTGGGCAACTATTCAGTGGCATAAGAACACAAGAGCAGCTCTGGTGGGACAAATCAAGATCTGTTTAATCCAGTATCTAGTTTTGTTGAGTACCCAGTTGTATGTAGGAATCCCCATAGACAACATGAAAGCTATGGCTTAGCAAAACCTGTACATTGTAGTTTGTAAACCATGGTGCATGATTTAGCATTAGGTGTGAAGTGGCCACAATGACCTATTCCAACAAATTATGCTTAAAATGGAACACAGTTTCTGCTTTCCCCATTTCTACAAAACATGATTAGGACTATCTCTACATTGTCTACATTCTCTTCCTTTCAACATTTATTCTACATGAAACAAAAACCCCGTTCCTTGCTCTTGGGTCTGAAATGGGACATTTCTTTTTATGTGTCACTTCCACTTCTCATGGACACGCCTAATACAAAGGGAAAGACCTGTTAAACAAAACCACAGTTAATATATTCAGGGAGAGAGCTGGCAGAAATATTTATTGAGGAGACTGCAAACACAGTTCACGGAGGCACTGGCACTAGTACTGTTTTATCCCCTTTAGACCCATGCGAGGAAAAAAAAATCTCTCTGCAGAGAGTTTCTTGCTACTGTGCCTAAGCAAACAGTGATTTAGCAAATCTATGGCTAAGCGTACCCAAGCAGTGTATGACACTTCCTCATTTAGAGTAGATAAAATCTGACATTGTTAACTAACCATTTTAATAAAAGTCCTAGCGATTTGTGGTGGTCAGCAAATATTCTAATCAGAGATCTTCTTTGAGAGGGGGTTGGATTGGAAACAATAATCCCTAAATGGCTTACAGTTGATTCTGATTTCAGTCTGTCTCAGTTCCTCCTATAACCTGGTTTCCATGAATATTCACATAGATTTGATTCACACTTACTGCTAAATATATATAAGATGGTGGACTGCAACTGGAGAGACCAAGGTTCATGTCCCACTTGATGATGGTCTCCCCAGTTCAGTGACTCTCTCTCAGCCCAGCCTACCTCAATGGTGGGGAGTAAAATAAGGTGAGACCCCACTTCTGTGCATGCATATCCAGAGAAAAGGCAGAATATGCATGTAACCAATGAAATGTACAAATAAATAAGCACAGTCTAGCTTGCTTAACCATGATTTACAGAATCACCCACAACTGGCTGATGCACACAATAAGGTAAGTCGAAACCGTACTGACCACATTATTGTTTAGTGCAATATGCGAATCCAGTAAATAGTTAAAGCTTTATTTAACAATATAGTTACAGGAACAGAAGGTACATGGCATAAGAAGTTGTTTCTCTTTCAGTAAGTATATCATGTAACCAAGGGCTACTCTTGTATGCTTAATTATAGAATAAATGACTTTTAAAATGCACATTAAAATGCACTGATTTTCTTCTCCCCCCTTTTTACTGTCCCATAGTCAACTGCCTCTCCTTCTTCTTATTCCACCCTTTTCCAAGTTCTCTTAGCTTTATAGTTATTTCCCTTATAAGGAAGTTGCTAGTTAACTCTTGCAGCAAACAAGACAAATATCCCACTGAAATAATTTAAATACAATTTGACAGTTTTCCCAAAATACCAGCATAAGACTTCAGCAAGAAATGCTAAAAAAAATGATCAAAATTGTATGAATGGAGTACCTTACCAGTGTTTTCAATATATACTTTAAGCTAGTAAAAAAAAAATCCAACTAATCCAAAACTGCCTCTGTATTAAGTTTTTGTTTTCAGGATAAATGTTGAATATTCAGTATTGACATAACTCCATGACTCCCTCTTCCCCTATCTCAGGCAGTTTTGGTTCTCTTCCTGAACTCCTTATATGGAAATTTATCTTCCTTAGCTTCAACACCAAACTGCTTAATAATTATTATTTAGAATTTTTATGCAACCAGAGGAAATGGGAGAAATAAAGTCATTTCATTTCTGCTGAAATATTACCTCCGGTTCCTGAGCTATTTCCATTCAGGTGTATTATTCTAAGTATTACTACGTAATATTACAGAATTGGCATTTTGCCTCCCACCCCGCACTTCCCTCCCTATCCTTTTTCCTGTCCTCCCACTTAGATTGTGCCCTAAAGGCAGGAACTGTCTTGCTTTACCGATTTTAAATAAACTGCTCTGGGTGTCTATTTCAGCTGAAGTAAAATGCTTAGATGAAGCATATACAGGTAAGATGGTTTCAGTTGGCCCTCTGTCTCAGTGGAACTAAGAGCTTGGACACTGCAGTTTTGTTACAGACCTCCTTTGCTTCTCCTTTAGGCCTAGACAATGGGAATTAATGGAAAAGGCAAGGGGTCGATGGAAGGAGACAGGCTGAAAGAAGATATGGCTGGCAGGAACTCCACGGTCACATTGCTACAGTTCTTGTTATAAGTCATACTATCTATGTGATAATTTTTTTTTTTTTTTGCCCCAAGATGGTATGGGTGGAGCAGCCCAATTGGTAAGCTCCACTCAGTGCTTGTTTTATTTGGCTTCTAGCAATTGTTTTCTGGACTCTATTTTTATCTCATTTCATTTCATCTTTGATTTATCTTATTTTAGTCCCGCATTTTTACTTATCACATGAATCCACAATTCTGCCCTACAGCATGAAAATTCCCAACACAATGGGCAAGAAGAAGAGACAGAGGACCAGCCCTGGAACTCTGAAACCAGCCAAGGCTGCCAAACAATTTAAGATGAACTAACTCTTGACTAAAAAGGCTCTTACAGAAATCCTAATCTCCTGCAATTCAGTGGATTCAACTGGTTTCTCTTCAGACTGCGTAAATCTTTCACCTTTTACTAAAGATTTCTATGGAAGGAAACATTTGCTTTGTAATTATTCAAAGCACTCAAGTATTAATAAAAGTCAAGACTGGAACTTCTTCATTAGCTTTTCCTACAAGAACCTTCCCATTTAATTGCAAGTATTTTACCCTCCATTAGAGACTGTGTGGTTATATGCTAATGTGTGAAACCACACTGGGTTTTTTTTTTTGAACAACAATGACAACAATGCCTTTTCAAGAGAGGAGTATTCAGAGCACAATAGTGTCAGCAGGTTGTAATGAAACTCAATGTTTTCGCCATGCTAGATCATATTTTCAGGGGGGCCCTGCATGGTTTAGACTGAAGTTTACAAAAAGACTCTCTGCCTTGTAGACTGGAGCAGAAGTATTTAACAGTATAAAACAGTTGAAACTAAAAGTGAATGAAGTAATGGCATGTTATATAACTATACAAAACATACATTATTATTTGCTTTTCTAACTTTAAGTTTTCAAGAAAAACCAACAGAAACTACATATGTGTGTATGTGTTAATGTATTAGTGGTGACAGCGTGGCACAATATTAACATAAGAAAAAAAAACATTGTCCTTCTACTTCTGTACAATAATTCTTCTGGCCATCCCCATGAAGAAAAGGTCCACAATTCCTGATATCCTGGGTAAGTCTAAATATTGGAGATATAACCAAGAAGAATATATGCATTGTTGGTAAGCCTGTGGATTTCCTTCTTTGCTTGCGATAACACTTCATAAAGCACAGTAAGTTTTGCAACATCTCCCTCTGCTGATAGAACAGCTGCTATGTTTCTGTGGCAACATGAATCATATCAAACTGTGTGCCTATTACACACTTTGATGCTTCAACCCACAGTCTCTTTACTTCCCTTTTTATTTTCACTGGCCTATGTAACATTTGATTTACCATGATTCTGAATTAATGTTCATTTCATATGTATCAGATTAGTCAGCCTAAAGCTTTCCTATAGTTTTTAGGATCTACTTTATACAGAGAACTGATTGATTGGTTATGTGCTGTCAAGTCGGTGTCGACTCTTAGCAACCACATAGATAGATTTTCTCCAGGAATACAGAGGATGTATTCTCCACTATTACAGAAAATGAATTTTAACTATGGAAGAGGGATATTTATTTCTGGATTCCAGGGAATGGAGAAGGGGTAAATTTGCTACTCTTCTCCCCCCACCCCCAGTGGATCTCTTGAATTTCTATTCATTAAAGTCACCAAACCTCAAACACAATGAAATTGGCAATTCTAAGACTGGCAGTTCATATTCACAAAAATTTGCAACTTGCAAACATTATTGAATAGGTAAGGAGGTTTGAAATTGTAATCCAATATTTGTGGAAGGCACTAGTCAGAGGAAGCTACAAAAAACAGAATTAAAAACCTTTCTTGTAAAAAGAAATGAGTGATGTGGACATATGTAAATATATATATTAAAACAGGAAAGTAGAGAAGTATTTTTAACAGTAAAGAAATAACAGATCAGTTGCATTTCTGCTCTTTTGCAATGAGTCAAGAACAGAATTTTGATCCTTGCACTCTCCAGAGTATGAAGGAAGGTTATAAATCAAATTAATGACTACGATCATACTCTTCTTAGAAATTAATCACTTTTCTTGAATTGCTATGCCCTTAAAGCAAGGAGGAAATTATAGAGCACTCTAGGCTACAACTGATTATCAAGATACTTGCTTTAAAATCCCATATAAATGTAACCACAGAAATCTGTCTACAAGATTGCTTCAGACACTATCACAGAAAAGCTGAAACAAACTTAATGTTACTCTGCCAAGTATTCGGATATTGCCTAAACTGTTCCTGTGCTCGGAATGGCTTTGAAATGGTTTTAATAATTTAAAACGTTTAAATACAAGAAAATTAACATCTATAACTGTATGTATATGTAAAAAAAAAAGTCTTAAAAAAACAATAAAGCTAGCAAAAGAATACCTCCCTTTCCACTCCTTCCTTTCTAAAACTAGCCAGCTAACCAGCCTTGTTTTCCCAAAAGAATAAAACTGACTAGCCCAGAACTACTTTAGTCTCTCTTGACTCTTCTTGTGAGGAACCAGAAGTACTGTTCAATACTGTTCAATACTGTTCAGTACTGTTCAATACTGTTCAAGTACAATAAGGAATCAGGACCTCGATAGTATTCCTTGCTTGCCAAAGAATCCCCGAGCTGGAAGATGATAGGGACTGTTGAGTACAATCCCTTTCTTGGTTCAAGAAGCCAATTAAAGCCACCACAACAGATGACCGTCTAGCTTCCAGCTGAACACATCACACAAAGACGACGCTGGTATAATTCTTCAGGAGGGGCCTATGTACACTCCCGATACCTATATTTTTCTTTAAATTATTCTGCAGATGTTAAGTAACATTCCGAGAAGCACCATTAAAAATACAAGAACAAGAGCACAATTGGAGGCAATGCTGTCAGATGTAAAGGGTTTAACTGCAGTAACTCAGCCAACAGATATAACCCTGCAAGTCTGTCTTCTCTAGAAATGTCTAGATATCCATATAAGGCTATGTTTGTTAAGATATCTTTCTGAAACAATAAGACAATACATTAAACAGTAACACAAACCATGCACACTGGAAGAGAATTTAGCTTCCTTAAAAGAACAACATATGAAAATGCCAATACTCACCCTGTATTATTTGCCCGTTGACAAAAGATCTAATGAATAAACTTGAGCTGTATATAGCTTTAGGCAGAACATTTAGCATTCACAGAACTTCCTCATGGTCATCGCTGACAGCGGTGATAGAAGCCAATGTGACTTTGCAAACCACTTCCTATTATTTTTCACTCTGAATTTAACTTGAAAAGGAAAACAAACAAAACCTCATGGTCTCTGATAGCATCCACATCACTTCCATTAGCCATTTCAAAACTGAGGGCAGAGGGGATTTTTTTTTTTAAAAAAAAGAGCACTTTCTTGCTCAAAAAATTGTTATTTTCCCCCTCCCCTCTATTCCAGAAATATATCTCAAAACACGACATCATCTCAAACACAATTAGAACCTCATGTACTGCAACCATTCTGAATTCCTTGAAGGAGTTGGATACAGATGTGTTATGTAAAACAAGTGCTACAAGGCCTGAATTGCAAAAAAAGCACTCTCTATTTAGCCAGAGGTGGGAAAAGTTCTTAAAGCAACTGTATAGCAAAAGGACTGGGACGGTCCTGCAACATTATCAGCTACTACTTTTACAAATGAACTCAGGTTTTTTTTTTTTAACCATGTTTTCTTGTTATTATCACTTCCTTAACTTGCTGCTGCCAAGAGGAGTGGGACAGAGGTACACAAAAGGTATGGGACAGGTTCCAGGATAAGGAGAGAATGGCGAAGAAGTGGATGAAATTTCAGGGTGGCTGTAAACTCTAAGGAAAAAGCCACAAGACCTATCTGCGCAATGAAAGCGAATGGCTCAACAAACTTAGATGGCCATGTGGAGGGGAGAAAACCTCATACAAAGCCAAACATGATCTCCAACAGTGATGGTGGGAGGGGGCGTCCAGAGGTTGATGGTCAATAGAGTGCTTGTAGGAAGCCATGGCTTGTTCCAACTATTCCTTGCGGAGGGGTTAAGCAACTTAAAGGTTCCTGGAGAAAATGGGAGCATTCTGGAATGGCAGGGGGGTGTGGGGGGTAAAACTGGAAAAACCCAGCAGCAAGAGTAGATGCCTTTGGTGGCCTGAAATGATAACTGTGGGAGCAGAAATTGAGTTTATTATAAGTAAATCCAGCCTTGGGTTAAAAGGCCAGGCCAGCTGTTTTGGTGATAGTTTATATAACAATTAAGGTACTGTTCTAAGGAGGCATTTATCCTCTCCATCTCTGCACCTAACTGTGGACGATGGACCAAGCACTGGCAGACCTTTGCATTCAAAAGTTGAAATATAGCCTTCAAAAAACTTGCCTTAAATTGTGGGCTTCTGTCAGAAATGATATTATTTCCTTCTGAAAATTTGTTGAATGAGCAGATGAGCTGTTTCAGAAATGCAATGGAAGCCATGTTGGAATGAAATGGGTTAAGAAAATAAACTGCCATCCGAAAGGTATCCAGACTTCTGACATATGGTAGGTTAGTTATAAAGTCCAAAAAACCCAGGTGGTTTCCCATGGCCCCTGCAGGAGATTATGGGATGCAACAGTCTAGACCAGGGGTCCTCAAACTTTTTAAACAGGGGGGCAGTTCACGGTCCCTCAGAATGTTGTGGGGGAGGACTATAGTTTGAAAAAAACATGAACTAATTCCTATGCACACAGAGGATCCCTCCCGCAGAGTTTGAGGAGAGGAGGAGAGCCGCCGGACCCGGCATACCTGTCATGTAGAATAGTTCAGCTCTGTGATCTCCCTCCTTGTGCATGAGGGGATATGTGATATTCTGAAGGATTGAAAACATCCCATTTCTTTCATGACTTTTAGTGGCCTTTCTATATTCGTTCTCATCCCTCTAGTTCAGTGTTCCTCAAGGGTGCAGCTCCCAACACAGCCCCAAT